TCCCCTCACATAAAACAGAAGAACAATTATGGCTTCCTGTCTATTTTCCTGTCTGGAAAAGAATAGGGTAAAGATAGCAAGAGGTGTGTGTGTGTGCAGAAGCCTATAAGCGAGGGATAATGACACATCTATCTGCTGGGAACAAAGCTGTGCTGCCTGCATGGGTCTCCCGAGATCATCTCTGGGTTCGTCCAAGCTGTGGGTCTGATGAGAAGTAGGGATGATGGTGCACTGTGGCAAATGCTTTTCTCATCTTGAGTTCAGCCAATTGCCAGTCCTTTCTGGATCATCTGAGTGCTACCCCATACTGTCAGAGTGATATGAATGTCAGTGCTGAAGGACAGAGGGAGACATGCCTTTTATGTGGAGTAAAGCAGTGGGATAAGGTCTAGATGATCCAGGATCAAAGTGATGTCTCTTTGAGGTGAGTGAAAGTTTGTCACTACTAGCTTTTTTCAAAGCACCTCAGGACATTAGCATTCACTTCTATTTTGTCCAAAATTGTAGAATCATAGAATAGCTTGACTTGGAGGGAACTTTAAAGATAGTTCTAGTTCCAGCCCCCTACAGTGAGCAAGGACACCTCCTACTGAACCAGGCTGCTCAAAGCCCTGTTCAACCTAGCCTTGAACACATCCAGCAGTGGGGCATCCACAATTTCTCCGGGTAACCTGCTTCACCCTCACAGTAAAGAATTTCTTCCTAACATCTAATCTAAACCTACCTTCTGAGTTTACAGCCATTCCCCTTTGTCCTATCGTTACACACTCTGCTAAACTTTAAGACATCCTTTTAATGGAGGAAAAATAGTGAGAAAGGAGAGGAGAGAGAGCAGAAATAAGAATAAGAAAAGTCTGAAGTAGCTAGGGACTGATTTTTTGTGGTCTTTTTTTATTGTTATAGACAGATGTTATGACTGAGATTTATTGTTGTATCACCACAAGAACAATTTATACAAATATATAATAAATGACAAGGTGGGCATTAGAGAAAAAGGAGACTTCAAACCTAGTGGAAACTAAGTTGGAACTTAGTACTTGTGTATAGTATGCTCAGTTGGTTATTGAAATACGGGAACAGAAAAACTTGCATCTTTGAAATCAGAATTATTCTTCAAGACCTTTCCTTGTCTTTGTGTATGTGTATGCATGCTAATTTGCTGTGAAAGTTCATATATTCCTTACAGAAATCTGAACTAATCTGAACAGGCATGACTAGTCTTATTTAATATCTGTATTGCAGATTAATGAGCAACAGGGATAATTAGGTTCAGATAAGTGTTTTTAATATAATTATGTAGAACCCACAATCTTGGGTGCACTAAATACTACAGTCTATTTTAAGACACTACTGCCTATTTTAATATATTCTAAGCAATGGAATTTCACAATGTACATGGCACGTTGTTTATTGCAAGGCTTTATTGTTGTATTGTGCCAACATTTTAGAACTCCAAAATAATTTCCAAAATAAAGAATAAATCTTTACTCACTCCTTGTCAGGATTTATTGTTTTCTAGTCTATGGTAAGACAACAGTATTTATTAGACAGAATGAAAAACAATCAGAAAAGTGAGTAGTAAGAAGTCTTGTCCTCCCAACTACACATACATACTTCTAAGTGATTATTTTAACCCTCCTAGCAATGCTATAAGAAGGACATACACGGATAATCTGAACACTCTTATAGAGAATCTGGGTACCAACTTGGCTTTTAATGTACAGCTGAGGGGAGGATATGGTTCTTTGCATCACAGACGTTGTCTCTTCTCATGAATACACACATTTTCCGTGAGAGGAAGTCAGTAGTAACTGTTAAATATTCTTAACTGTAAAATAGCAATTATCTGTAAACTATTTTGTAACCTAAATACTCCACTCGTAAATGTTTGTGTTGTGAAATGTTTTGCAATTAATTCATTAAATAAAACTGCATTAATTATTCTGCTTATTGCTGTAAACAAGCAAGAAAAATTGTTCCCATTAGGGAGCTAGAGGAAAACCTTATTTATGATAGCTTGGTTAACATGCTGATTCTATTTTCAAGAATGAGCTATCAGTTTTTTGAAAAAGGTCGGTAACTTGTAAGGTGCCATGGACAGAGCAAAGACATACGTACTGAGGGCTCATCGAGGTGCAAAACAAACCCTGGGAAAATATGAATTTTGGCCCGTGTTGTATATGTTTCTTGATCCAGTTTGTATGAGGTTTTAGTCTCTCACTAAACTTTCAGAGAACTTCAGAAGAACTTCTGGTTTTCCCCCCACAGAAAACCTGGATTATTTGAGTATATTTAGTGTGTGTATATATACCCACACACTATACACTAAATATGCAAGATATATTTTGTATGTTTTAGTACATATCTTTCAATGGGAGCTATCTTTAGGTATAGCTATTCTGTGCAGGTGCCATATTCCTCTCTTTTCCAAGGAAACCAGGAGGTCTTATGAGTTCTATAACCTTTGGAGTGTAAAGAGCTATAAAATGTCAAGTCAGAGCCCAGAGGTAAGGAACTTAAAACCACATTCTTTCTTCATGAACTTTTTCTAGAAAATGTCTCACTTTTGACTTATCTATAAGTTTACTTATTGCTTGACCTAGAACCTTATGAAGTCACATTACTACATTTACTATAGGGCCCAGGTAATGTGTCTACAGGATGTACATTATAGTTCTGCTGGCAAGACACACTTCTCATGGGGCTGTGTTCAAAAATCATACTTCAAACAGTGGTAAAATTAGTTATTTTATTAGGATTTTAAAAATTATTTTATTTTTATTATTTTTATTTATTATTATATTATTATTCTTTATTAATTTTATTTATTATATTAGTTATACTCATATAACCTAAAAATAAACATGCAAACAATCTAGTAATATGAACTCATCTATCACATTTAGTGAACTTTAATAAACTTTGTTTTGTTTGAATGCCTACCTGTGTCAGACCTCTTCCATCTGAAAATGTGAGTTGAAATTTCCATAGGGTGCAATGGTTCTTGATCATTTTTTATTATTATTTTATATTTTCTTTCTCAGAACAGAAATACCATGGCCACAGTTTATTTCAGATTTCAGTTTGATCTTTATTTATTTTTCACTCCCTCTTTTCATAATATTTGAGGGTTTTCCTAAAAAACAGCAGAAAATGCAACGGTTTACAAAATGAAAAGCAATCAAAGAACACTTTATGCCACTTCCAGTTTTTACTGCCTGCTCAGAACATAACAAGACAAGGTTTCTTTGCTTTGTAAGGACATATCCTAACCCTGTGACTGTTGCTAACCCTCTTGTTGCTCTGCCTCTCTATATTGACAATCGTGCATATTTTAGGTGAAGGTATTACCATGCATTTTAAGACAATAAACACACAAGTGGCAGATTTTCACTGCCAGTTTTATGAAATTATTTATCTGTTTCTTACTGGATTTTCCTACAGTGTCTCATGTTCAGTCTTCCACAAGCAGATGTATTCTTTAGTAGTGAGCTCCTCAAGTGTGGCTTTGCATTGATTATGACATTAAATAGTGCAAAATTTTTACCATCAACTTGAGTTCAATTCTTGTCACTGAACTGCATCATTAAAATGATTTCAAAAAATCTTCAGAAAAGAAAGAGAATAAAAGTCATACTAAATACTCCTAAATATGTTTTCTGACAACACCCAACTGTTTTAATATATAAGATTTATACATATACATCACAAGTTATTTCCCTCCCCCCCCGGATTATTTTCCATTACTTGCTGAGGAGGTTTTTTGGAAATTCCTTGATGAATCCTGGACTCTTAACAGTTTGATGTTTTCTTTTTCACATTAAACTACTTGGTTTGCAATATTTATAATCCTGTGAAGTAGTAGGGGCTGTATAGCATTAGAATGAGTGCAGAGTAATAAAGGTAGCTTTATGTTTCATTTATTTCTGAAGCTTGGGAAAGGGCTGGTTAGAATATCTAGCCAAGAAAAACATAATTAAAAGATGAACCTGGCTATTCATCCCCCAACAGACTCTAATAGTCAGAAAATAGTGTCAAGGTGGCCACCCTGCACTTCCACAGCTGCTCCCTCAAGCTCTTGGAATGCATGTATGAAACCATCAGGCCTCATCTAGGGCAGAGGAAATAAAAAAAAAACCACCCAATACAAACAGAGAACAAGTTCTGTCACTACTGTATGTATTATTCATGCTTCAGTGTTCATTGTAAATCCTGGCTGGTTCTTGCAGCTGCTTTAGAAAGTATCAGATGAAAATACTTTGTGATCGGTGAATATTGTAAAGTGTCCTGATTCTCCTGTGTCCATATTTTCAGGAAATGAGAAATAATTAAATTGACAATTCTTGATACTTTGATGCCAGAACTCCAGAATTAAGTAACTGTGAATGTCAATATAGATTTTGAAATCTATATATTTTGGCTCTATTTTGCAATAAGACTTAATTTTTTTCCCGTGCCCAGTTTCAGACAACCATATGATCATGTGTATGTGATTTCCATTGTACCTGTTTCATAAAATCAAAAGATCATAAACTGTCAATTCTAAGAGGGCAAATAATTACTGAGGTAATCTAATATCTTGGAAAATTGCAGTCCTTCAACCAAAAAGTTGACAGAATCATGGAGCATTTTCTGTAGATCTATTAAAATATATATAATGGCCAGTCTTCGCAAGCGAAGATCCGGGGAAGGTCTTTACACCTTCCAGCCTGCGCATTGGATTTTTTAGGTGAGACACAGTGTGCGCGGAACTGAGCCCACCCTTTAATCCTAAGGTTCATCTGCCGGGGCCAAGCGAGCTTGGACGGTGGCAGCGAGGTCCTTAGGACGTAGGTGGGTTGCCTTTAAGGGCTAACGAGCCCCACCTGCCCGGTAGTGGCCCTGACCGGGAATCGAACCCTGGTCTCGGCGGTGATAGCGCCGCGCCCTTACCACTAGACCACCAGGGGCTCTATTAAAATATATATATTAGACTAATATGCTTTATTTTCTCTTTTCAGCTTCCTAGTCTCCTTGTGCCAACACATAATTTTCTTCTTTGGAAAGATATGAAGATATCTTCAGTTATCACCTAATTCTTCATAATAGTGAACATGTAGCCATTTATTAACAGGTTATAATTTAATCCCAATTGTGAACTGGATCACTGAAATGTAAAGGAGCCTTTCAGTGAATTTTTTTATAGGTTTGATTGTAGAAAAAAAAGAATGGGTTCATTTGCTAGTTTCCAGAATGATTCTTGACATCTATAAAGTCAGATTGGAGACCTGAGACCTGTCCAGGTACACACATAATACTTACAGATGAGGAATCTACCAGAGAAGCAAGCAGAACTCTGTAGCCATGGCATCATAGGGCAGTAGGGAGTTGTTTCATCCACATCTTGGGTTTAAAGCAGAATCAACTACACCTGTGTTTTTTCTGACAGGAATTTCACTATTTTTCTTAAGACTTAAACTTTTGTAATTATGAAGTGACCCAAATTAAATTTATTTTATGATCATTCAATCCTCCTCCTTTGTAAACACCAAAGTAGAGTCACCACAGATAATATTTGTGTTGGCCCATTCCATGGGCAACTTGTCTGTAATATGTTCAGTTGGGTACTGAAATACAGGAAAAGAGAACCAAAAAATAGACACCCTCAAAATCAAAATTATTCTTCTGGACCTTTCCTTGTCTTTATGTGCGGGTACATGGTTGTTAATTTGCTGTGAAAGTTCATATATTCCTTACAGAAATCTGAATTTTATATAGCTGTTTTATATATTGCTCATTGTACATTTGTGTCCCTCTTACTTTGCAACTTGCTTAGATATATGTTCGGGAATGCTTTCTAGGAAGTGACACATTGTTTTAAACTAAATTATAAACATCACAATGTTATTCCTTGCTAAAAATAAATTCTTGGGAATGTCCAAATTATTATAAATGTTCCAAGAAAGGTCATTATTTCCAGGTTTTGTGTAAGTTTAATAAGTTCTGGAGGCATTACTAGAGTGCACCATCTTCATAATTCTATATCACCTTCTCTTTTTCTGAGACCTTGACTATTGTTTTTCTGCTGGACATATGTGATAACAAAGTGGTGCTTGAATAGAAGCAGGATTTCATAAGGTTACCAGAAAATGTATGAATAAGGTTACCAGACAATGCATCAATAAAATAATAGTAAGATAATATCATATTTAATTTTCTTCAGTTGATCCTTACACACATTTTCAAAGCACACAGAGTATAAAACAAGACATTGTAAGGCTCAGCCAGTTTAAAAATAAATCTTGGGCAACAAACAAAAGATCTTGGCAAAATACAGCTGCTGGAATCATCATACTATACAGCAGAGTTCAATTATCTCTTTTCAGGAAGCATACCACAACGATGTACAAGAGACTGTACCAGCAAAAGAGTGGCATGAAAAAAAAATCCAGGAATCCCTTTTTCTTTTCTGAAATCAGTGGAACATCAAATACGAAAGTGAGCTTCATAGAGAGAAATGCACTTTGCCTAAAGGAATATTTCTATGAAGCACCCTGATTTGATACAGGAGTGTTTAAGTAACTTCTTTAATAACAATTAGAGTTTGACTTCTCCTAGGGAAAAAAATTACTTTCAGCAAATTAGAAGTGCTCTTTGCTAGATCCCACTCCACCAATACAATTCCAGGCCCTGTTCAAATTCAATCTCCCTATCCAATTTATCAGGCCTCCTGCTGTAAGCAACCTTTTTAAATGCTGATGGGTCTTTACTGAAACACTTACATTGCATGGTCCTTTGCACTGACTGTTCACACATTTTACCAAAGAGTAACCCACATCTTCCACAGGAGAGGTGTGCAAGTACGGGACATCCTGGTCCCAGAGACAGAGACATGTGGGTAACACACAATGGTACGGGTAATTCTGTGGGGATGACATGTAACTCTGTAAGCGTGGGTGTAGGTGTGTGCAGGTCTTGGGGTTAATTGCAGAAAGGTGTTAAGAAATGTGTAGGTGTTTATTAACATTTTGTAAGCATGTAATACTTATGGTTTACTTTTGTTACTGTTACTGAATTTTAAATGTATAGTTTTCTGGTAGGTAGTAATTGTATGTCATCAATAAACAAAAACCCTTTTCACTATTGATTTGGTAAACTGTGTGAACCAATTTTCTTTTTTCATTGTGATAAACATTCTCTGTGTCATTAAAAAAATATGATGTAGAAGACTGTGACTGTACTGTTTTAGGGCTAATTTGATTCATGACAGAGAGAAAGCCTAAAAGTTGTTCAAACCTGCTCAGATAGTAATGGTCTAAGCATCTTGAGAAGTCCCCAAAGCATTGCAGGATCACTGGAGTTTTATTTACAGTTTCTCTCCCTGTTCTTTCCTACTCTGTAGACTGTTATAACTGCATCTCTTTTGGCAGCTGTGTAATATTAAGGAATTTCTCTGGGCAATTCCTTTTCCACTTCAGATTATTTTGTGCTGAAGCAGCAGAGTGCTACGACTGGAATTCATAAGTCAAATGAACAGCAAAAAACTGGGGCAGAAAGTAAGTAAGCATTAATACCTGACACCACTGAAGAAAGAATGAATAGCATCTGTGGGTATTTACACCTCAGCCTAGTTTTGTTGCTAGTACCCTTTCACAGGCTTTGTCACTGACTGGGACCTGACAGCTTGGCTGCTTGTTGGGCCTTGCTGGTGGAGGTGTTCATGGAGAGGGCAGGGACAGCCACTTTTGAGTGGGGCAGCTATGATGGGGTTCCAATATTCCTGTCTCTGTTGTCTGTTGTCCCTCACCTACGAAGTGTTTTTATGCCATACTCCAACATTGCTATCGCTTTCATTTATATATATATATATAAAAATTTATATGTATATATAAGATGTAATAATACAAGGATATTGAGAAGAAATATCTTCTACAAAGTCGAGAATTTAAGTAAGAGCAAAGAGTATTATTGTGAATCATATTAATACAATCTTTTTCTCCTTTTACTCACAATTTTTTATATACTAGACTTGGAAAGGTCACACATCCTGGAGTAGTCTCCTTATAACACATGCTGCACTTGGTTCACTTTAGCTTGTATAGACCAGAATCATTTGCAAAATGATTTTTTTCTTTTTTCCTTTTCAGTATCACTATGTCTGCATCCCATCACCACAACTCCTAAAAACTTGCAGCAGTATCTAAAGACTTTTTGTTTGAAAAAATACTAATTTTAAAAATTATGAGTGTAAAATATGGTTACAATATGACTAATGGATATCTGTTTAGCTGGCTTAATGCAGGTGTCTACCTGAGGTGGAGTTTAGTGGACTTAGGTGGCCTAGTAGCTTCTCTCTAGATTGACTAGATCTCCATGACCAGGCAAGGACCTTTGACACCTAGTACATATGAAGACCTACACTGTATACACCTAATATATAACGCATATACCTATGAATCTGGAGCAGAATTTCCAGCCCTGATTCTCAGTCAGTACTCCCTAGGAAGGACACAGTTTATTTCCACATCCAACTCCCCATCCAACATTTAGCCTGAATTTCTGCTTTAATTGCATTGATAGTGAACATTGTACATGACTGCAGTATTTGGTGCAATGAAGTAAGAAGAGCCCACATTGCAAGAACCTTTTGTTTCCCAGTGTCTATTTTGCACAAAAGATCTGATGTGTCCTCTAGGCTTTGATCATTATCTAATTAGGATTTTTGCTTGTTTGTTTGTTTTTCCAAGGGGCCACGTGCCCCCTTTTGGGGGTAAATAAAACAACATTGACAGGATTGCTTTGCTATTGTTTTCTAAAGCTGTTAAAAGGCAAGTGATCATTAGTCAAACACCACTCAGCAGAAGATCTGAAAGCAGTATGCATGCCCCTCAGTGACACTGCTACTTCAGAGACTGAGGGAGAGAAGACTGATACGAATTGGAGCTTGTGTTAATGTGTTTTCCTCTTCATGAAGCTTATTGTTGTTCAGACGTGTCCCAGAAAGTTAAATACTGTATTTTGGGCAGCCTAATCTTTTTGGGAATGTAGGTCAGCCTAAAGCAGCAGCAGAATCTGTGATTTTCCACACTGGCTTGCACAGAGCAGGAAAATTGGAATCACAGCAGATAAACACGCCCAAGAACATTGACAGAAAGTCAGGAGTGACAGAAATATGTCAGACATTTATCTGGATGACAGAAAAATATGTCTGATTGCTGACACACTCTGACTCATATTTTCTGAGGATGGCTGAGATACAAGGCATGCTAGCTGTGAATTTAAATGGTAAGATTTTTACAGCAACTTGGCATTTTTCTTTTAAATTGTTATTATTCTTCAAACACTCAGGAGCATTTTGAAATGACGAGAGATGTATTTTGTAAAGACCAAGGAGCAGAGGATAGTCTCATCTGAGCTGCTGACTGAATTTGCAGGCTTGCCTGACGTGTTTCTTGATGGGCTCCTGTTACCTCTGATAATCTTTGGAGGTGCAGCAATAGCTGGTAGTGTGTACCAACAAAAATCTGCTTTTATTGTGAAGTACTTCCAGAGAGCAGTGGTTGTGTACTGATGAGTGACATCCCCAGTAATGCTGCCCAGCAATTATCACTCCATCACATTCAAACTGGCTTTGGTGTGAAAGGAGGGGAAGGGAACAGAAATGGGAGGAAGTTTAATCTATTCATGTTATTAAGAGACATGATGGACATCTATTAAGTAGAAATACTGTAAAGAAGGTCTGCCCCATAAAAGTATTTTTGTTTGCTAATTATTCCAATAAAATAATAGCAGTAAAATACACTAGCTAGGGGGATATGTAAACAGCATTAGCAGTTGATACCTGCAGGGCTTCTCTTGGGGAGAAGGATTTCCAAGCCTTTTACTTTCACTATTTTATCAGATGACTCAAGAGCTTGAGGAGAAACAGTTTTTGCTCTTTTAGGTCATGATTTAAGAGTCTTAGGGACTTTAAAATCATAGTGGGAACTCTCAGAACTACTTTCTCTGTATTGGCCATTTCTAATTGCTCTTACTGTTGTGTGGTTACTTACACAAATATAGATTCTGGAGTGCTAGAAGAAAAGAGGTTCCCTGTTGGGAATGGACTCCTTAAAAACTCTGTTTGGTGTCACAGGACCTGGGGTTAAGTAGTTTTGGAGTTTGGGCAAATAGAGTATGGCATGAAGTACACTTGCTTTCCTGTTTTTTTGGAGGGCAGCCAAACATCCATCAGTGTCTACAGTGATTAATGATATAGACTGAACTCACTAAGGTGTGGTATTAATTTGTATGTTAATGTAATAATATACGAGGCAAATATAAGAGGCAAAAAGATTTGCTGTATGTCACATTTCTATCAGCTTTTCCAAACATCATTGTGGTGGCTCGTATGTTTAATAAGTACCCAGCAGTACTCAGAACAGTGACCCATTTAACTCGTTAATGCTTGTCTACAAATGGCTAATAACTGGTCTTTTAAACAGAGTTTGCTGCCCACACGTGTGACAATGAAAATGTGAAAATGTGAAAATGTGAAAGTGCCAAGATAAGCACAGTAGCTTATCTTGGTTTTTGCATGTTTTTGTGTGCATCCATAGAGCTGAACTTTAATTAATAAGTAGTATATTCCGTTCTGATACCTACAAACAATGGGTCAGTGCATGATGTGTGTTATTTGGGACACCTTTGTTCATCTTGGTTTGTGTTTGTAAATAAGAAAAATAAAATATATATTATAGTTGATTTTATGATTTTTTTGATAGTGAATTGAAAGAACTGATCTTCCACTGGTCCTTCATTTCATAGCATTCTCTTCAATAGCTCTATGCCCTCGTTAAAAGGATACTGATACGTTCTGGTAATAGGATGAATGCATCTGACTAATGAAATACATTCAAGTTCTCTCTCTATTTTTTTCAAACCTAAATAACCCTTGTGATTTTTTTCATATATGTATATATCTATATAAATATGTAACCCTTCCATATCAAAATATATCCCTTTTTCTGTGAGAGATTTCCTTATAACAAATTGTTGACCTAATTTTCATTCTACTTTACTTTATTACTTAGAAGAGCTGTTTCTCTATATATTCAGTGTAAATGGATCCAAACTTTAGACTGTACTGAGCTATCCTAATATTTCAACTAATAAGCATCAGAGAATCCTGCAAATTCAAAACACTTCAGAGTTTATGAGAAGATTTACAAAAACTGTAGTTTTACACAGTTTCCTTGCAAAGTAACTTAGAGACAATAACATAAATATTTGGCTGCAGAAGGAAATTTGTCTCCAATTTGCCTCATACCTTATTATTCTTTAAGACGAAATGAAACCAATGACAGTTCTATGAACTAAGGCAATTTTTAAAAGATATTAGTGTGTTAGTCTGCTGGAATCAGGCTGGGACAGCAGAAATATAACATTGTGAAGATAACTTTGAGTGAAGGTTGTATTGATTCTTCTGACTAGTTTCACACATCTGAAGGCACCAGAGTGAGCCTCTGTACTGGGACTTCCTCTTCTCTCACATGACCATCCCCAGGGAGGCATCCTGGCTCTGCTAGCCTCTCTGTAAAGTCAGTAGTGAGATAGACACCTCTAGATTATCACTTTAAAAATTAATAAAGATAGGTATTTAAGATACACGAACAATAATTATCCTCTGGAGATATTTATCTCATTTCAGGAGTAATCCTGAATGATTTTAATTGCTAGTTAAACCTTCTCGCAGGAAACTGCTCCAGTAGTCTTCTTAGCTGTTCAGGTCCATCCAGAGAAAACTCAGTGCAAATACAAAACACAGCAAGTTCAGGAAGAAGCTTCATTATACCATTAGTTTAAATTTAGGCAGTAATTTTATTTTTTCTTTTTAACAGAATAATATTCTGGTTTAAAGTCACTATTCCCACGTCTTTTATTTTATTCTGCTGGAATGCAGCTTTATGCTGTCTTAAAAACTAAACTATATAACCTTTGAGCTGTTAAGCAGTTTTAAGTGTTC